ATTACGATTGTTACAAGATGTTAATGATTTTCTTTGGGTGTTACTGATTGTCAATTGCGGGCGTTTAAATGTCCAGTTGGCGTCCTTGATTGTCGATAGATGCTCTTGTTTGTTCGTTAACACTATTGATCGTTTATAAACATGCAAATTGCGCTCTTGAATGTTCCGTGACGTTAATGAAGTGCTTCTTGGTGTTATAGAACGTATATTCGCCTCATTGATTCTACACTTCGCGAAAATGAATATCTTTTTCGCCTAAATGATCAGCAAAAGGTGTATATCAGATTGCTTAAAGCCTTTCCAGTTTGCCAAGAAAGTTAGAATTTGCCCTCTCAATACATTTCAAAAGGCGAATTTTAGCATATTCTTAGCACTATAAGTGGCCATCGGCCGATGGCCGTAAATAACCTTGATTTAGACGTTAAGTTTTGGGATTTGGGACCTGGTTGACAACTCTATCCTACACAGCCATTAAGTTTAGACCTTTATAGGCAAAAGCATGCAAAAACCTGTGTACGTTTTTGATTTCTCAAAAGTTATGACCGTTTGAATCAGCACATGTACGGGCATTCGCGATTTTTTTCACCTACACTAAAATCAAACTACTGGAGCAGATTTCGTCATAAATACAGCTTACCCGCTTTGCAGCTCGGCTTCATGGCTAACTTCAGTATTTTTCAAATAACCAAATTGCTTAAATCCCTGACAACCTCATCAAATAGCTAGGTATTGCCTTCGAAAAGTAGGCGGCATCCATCGGGATTCGTGGTATCAAAACAAATGGTCGGAATTATGGCCACATTTCGCGGTAAATTACCCATTTAATATCGCTTCCGAGCTCAATTTTTCCAGAATCAGAATATGAACTCTCCATATCTAAAAGCTGAGTGAGGAATGAAGGTTTTAGGCTTCTGAAGTGAAGAAATAATCGCCCAAATTTAGATCACGACGATCCGTTCGATGTTGTGCTGTTCTCACAAAGGTCCGCACAAAAGAGAAGACCGCTGATAGCTTGTGTCGCATGGTTTTGTTCTATCCCAATTTACACCCCAATGTAATATTTGGGGAGAAAATTGTGGCTGAAAAGAATAAATGCTTTTACCTGGAGTTTGATATGATATAATTAATAAATTAATATCAAATATCCTGAGCTTGCTTCTCTCGGTTCCGCGTTGATTGTGTCCACAGACCAGCAGCCTGGGAATAGCCGGAGATTTCGGCTACCAACGTGATAAAAATTTTGACACATGCTTGGTATGAACAGATGTTAGAAGTGTTGCTTCTAGTAAATTTTCAATCGTTTTAATAAAAAAAAATATCACTGACTGCGAGAAGCTGAACACACTAATCCCTGTTTTTGTTAAAAATAATTTTGACATGAAGAGCAAGGCTCAGTGCGATGGACACTGCGGAAATACGTTTTTCGGGGTCCGGTACAGTATTTTGCTGGTCAGCGGCACCCCTTGCGAAAACAAAAAAATGCCGGTAACTTCTTAATGGTTTTCGCCGCGAGTCTCACCTGCTTCACAAAAGTGTAAAACTTAGAAAAGATACTGCAAACTCAGCCTTTAAACTCGGCTCAAATCAAGGAAAGTTCTTGGTCTCTATTATACAATTTGCCAAAAATTAACGGAGGTTGCACACGATGTGAAATTGTTGTTGTTTCGTGAGGTATTACTTGATCTGCGAGTCCATAGAAACAGTGCATTGTTTTTACGGGATGTTGTGCGCCAAGGCGAAAACCAGACGGCTAAATAGTGGCTGCAGTGGTGTTCTGAGGACACCAACCCCTCAGGTTTGTAGAGCTGGTTGCTTTGGACCCAGTGAGTTAGTCTGTCAACTGCATTTCGACCGCATTCGCCGAGAGGATGACAAAACTTGCTCGTGTCTGTCGACTTGGGGGCATTCACGGAAGTTGCACAGCCATCGTATTCCAGCACGCTTTTACAAAATTCTGGACCAAGTTGGACAGAAAATTTCTACTTATAGACCAGGGACACGTTGGTGTAATCTGTGTAGAGCTGAGGCCTACAAAAGATTCAAAAACTGGCCTCTACTTGGGGGAGAATTAAACAAGGTATGTATTATCATAAAATGCCTATTTAAATTGATACTGTGCTTTTAGAGGAGGGTTGGCAGGAGGAAATTTTTTTTCAGCAACAGTATTAACTTCCAACCGTTTTGAAAGCTCATAATTAAGGAAACCAAGGTTGACAACAATTATCAACTGTATTTCGTTAACTTCTGATAAACAAGACTATTTCAACAGTTGACTGGTTTCTAAAAATAACTACCATTGCAGATGTGTGATGTCAAAATAACTGAGAGTCAGATAGACACTGTTAAACAAGAGGTATGATTGTACTCAATGTGTTATGTGAACTGCCACAGTTACACATGCATAATTTTTCTGTTTGAATGGGCCATTTTCTTTGCATGTACCTCTATTCTCACCTTCATTGTAACACTATTGTAACAGGTATGTCAAGAAACTGAAGAGATGGATTTTGAAGCTAGTCAACAATTTACCTCCGAGGTACACTCTTAACTGTAAACATTGTTTGGTATAATAGTCAATGGTACTATGTAGATCTTAGAATTACAGCATGTTACACCATAATGAAAATACTACATGTGGTTTTGAAGAAAAAGAATGTTTACTACGATAAAAAAGCCACAAAAAGCTCATCCCTATCTGTGTCACAGCGGAAAAATCCTGATTACTGGAGGATTGTTGAAGGACAGTTTGGTGACATGTTAGTTGGTCAGGATGGGGACATTATGCTTGAGGCATCAACTTGTAAACGCATCCGGGAGAAGTTAAATGGTAAACTAACAATTTCATCCTTTATGAAGCTCTTTTTTACGTAGAAGATACACTGTAATAGCAATAATACTACAATTTTGATTGAACCTAAATTGTATTTATCTCTAACAGAAGCAACATTCAATGACCTCCTACAAACTCTAAGCAAAAAAATGGAAAAATGCTCAGATCGGTAGTGACTTGTAAGCCAGCCAGTTTTTAAAGAATTCATAGAATCAAATTCTCCAAAACTGTTTAAGATCATCCTTGACAGTATTCTCTCTGAACGTCATGGGGAAAAAAGAGCAGACCTGCAGGAGAAAAGGGCAACAGCTGTTATATGGCAGCTACTATATTACAGGTATTTTTAGTTATAGGCCACACTGGTACTTATATATGAAATCAAATTCTAATGCAGAATACCACAGCAGACCAAGAACATTCACAGCATTTTAAATGAGTCACAATCTAGTCATCTGGAGAGGGCAGAATACATGGTTTGCCAAGCAATTCAAAGAGTAATTAAAATTTGTGAAAATACATGTCTACATACATATATTGTTTTATACCTGGATTTTCCTACAGAAAACTCCTACCACTGAATAATTTTATTTTCTGCTTTGGCTTTGCAGAAATCCTTTCAAATACTATGCATGGATGATTTCCACAACATCAACACAGTTAAAAAACCAACAGAGCAAATACTTACTAATGCTGTCCATATGACAACTCTTCTCATGGACATACAGTCATCTGTAGATGCAGTTCCTCGACCAGTTGACACAGCCAGCATTCACAGATGCGTAATGGTTTCATCTCCTGGAAGTCCACCCCAGCTGTGCAGAGGAGGGATATCCACCAGAGCTGTCATAACAGAAATAAAAAGATTTTGGCCTGAATTTAGTAAAAATTTCTTCCTAGAGAGCTTGGCCCAACCATACAAGGAAATTGATCTCTTTATGTTGCGGCAATCTTTTAAAGAGCTAAGGCAAGACAGACAACATCTAACTATTTCACTAATAATCCAAACTGATGACTGAGTGTATATTTCAGCACATCAGTACATGTATATTACTGTAGATACACCAAGTGAACCTTGAACAATCATTTATGATCATGAAGAGGAAAAAAAAAGAGACCAACAGCATCTACAATGCAAACTGGTGTAAAATCTGAGTGGCATTCTTGCTTAATGCTGTCCAGTCTTGGAAAAAGTATGCAAAGTGTAATGATTTGTGGACTTCATTGAATACGCAGTGTCTCATTAAGTCAGTTTGTCTGCTAAATATCTGGTTTCTAAGCTTGTGCATTTTGTTAAAAAGAGTCTCTCCTACAATGTACACAAGCTTGTTTCTAATTATTTAACTTTCTAACACTACTGTATATTCAATAATAATTAATTAATTATTACAGGGTTTATTCCAGAGGAAATCCCGAGGAATGTCAAGCCTTGAAATCAACAATACTAATTGATGAGATTGAACAGACACTGCACAGTAAGGATGACTACCAGGCTTGCCACCAGTACATTTTTGATGTAATACCACAATTCAAAGAATTCCTTAAATTACATGTGGTTTCCACTGCGGGTGACTGGCCAACATGGTACCATCAAAAAAAGATTGTCTGCCATGCTAATTTAGATCAAGAAGTTATTTCCCTAATCCCTGAGTTAGGACAGTTTCATGTATATTTGAACAGTTCAGAAGATGTAGTAAAGCAGTACTATCCCGTTTTCAAAGAGATCTATGCATCGGTGTTTGGTCAGAGAATTAGATTACCTGAAAAGCCCAAGCTAGACAGAGTGGCACTGTGCATTGTGCTAGCATTTTGTGATTGGCTGAGAATCCGCACACAAGTAATTCAAGCATTTGGACAATGCAAGGACACTGAATACAGTTGTCTCTCACATCTTTTGAAGAGCTCAACCCTCTGTGTCTTCTGCATTATCCTGTAATTGTGAGAAGTGGGCAATTTCCACAGCTTGCTTCCTCTATGAAGCGTCTAGCCATCATGTTTGTAGCTATGGACAGACACCATTACAATAAGGCATCGCTTTCGTGGATCAGCGATGAACAATACCAACGGGAAAACTTCCCTGCTTATCATGCTGCCAAGTCTGCTCTTTGTTCTGTTTTGAATGAGAAGAAGGTTGAGATCTTCCACTCCACTTTAAGATCAAGAATACGAAAGA